GTATTAACAGAAACATCTGAGAATGGATGGCTCCGGTGGCTCAGTGAGTAGGGCACTGGCCCCACATACCAAGGGTGGCAGTTTCAAACCTGGCCCTGGCCAAACTGCAACAAAATAATAGCCGGGTGTTGTGATGGGCACCTACTACTCAGAGGTTGAGGCAAAAGAATCGCCTAAGCCCAAGAGCTGGAGGTTGCTGTAAGCTGTGACACCACAGCACTCTACTGAGGGCTACATAGTGAGACTCTGTCTCAAAAAGAAAAAGAAACATCAGAGAATGGCTCAGGGTAAGGGCATCTCTGCTGTGACCCAAGCACTCAGCCTCTTCACTTGGCTGTACCCCAATAACCTCGAGAGCTAAAAGAGGACACAGCCATTTTCCATGGCTTAGCACATGTGAGCACAAACCTATTTTCACCAGTGCCCTGAACATGCTGGGTGCATTGGGAACAGCTCAGCCATCTGCCACCAATGCCAGGGGCTTAATCAGAGCAGAATTCCCTGCCATATGCACTGAGATGTGTAAACCCCCCAGGAGAGACACCTCGCAGGCCAGTGCCTATATTTGTCAAATCATAAGGTTTTCCCCATCTGTCTCTATCTTGGGTCACTCCAAGGGACAGCTCTATCTGCTTGGTTTTTTCTGTGTGCCCATGGACAGAGACAAATATTTCACTTTGAGGACCTGAGAGTCTGACAGGTACACAGAAAATGAGGTCTTTATCTCACCCTTGGAGGATCACTGTATTATCAATCTTGTTCAGACCGCAGATACTGACTTTTAAGTAAACCTTTGGGGCAGTATGTATTTATTGGCACCAAAATGTTAAATCTGTAGGTAGATGGGGGACTCTTGAGGTCTGGAATTGTGAAGGGTCTATGTCAGTTCTTCCCAAACACTGTTGCACATTAGAATCAAATAAGAGATTTAAAAAATTCCTATGCCCAGGCTATAGCTCATACCCATTAAATCAGAATGTCCAAGGATAAGCCCTGCTAGCCATGCTTCTCAAGGTCCCCCCAGATGATTCCTGGGCAGCCAAGTTTAAGAACCACTGGTCTAGATTCTACACCACCTCCTGGGTAGGAAAAGGATCAGTGAGACCTCATGCCTATGACTTGCTGGCTGGTCGCCCAGCCTACTTTGTGAGGTGATTCATTCAGTCTGTGGGTCAGAACTTGTCTGCCAGATTTGGTGTGAGCAGCTGCCATCCCAGACCTGAGCACTGACATTCTAAGACACATGGGGCTCCTGGCGCTCCAGGATGGGCTCCCCACCTGCATCCAGAGGGCCAGGCCTCAGAAGGGTGAGGTCAGAGCCACTGCCTTCTGCGTCAGTCCTGGCAGGGGTACCCACAGTCACTTGCGTCACTTCCCCATGTTTGTGGTGGGAAAAGAGAGAATTGATGGGTTTATCTGCTAAAGAAAAAGAGAACAGGACGAACAATAAACCTTAGGCTAAAGCAGCTCTAACTCTCACTGTGTTCAAAACCAGGCCTTTGAAAGTCACAACACAGCTGCCTTTCCCTACAGGGAAATGGCTGTAGCTTGGCTAGAAACTATGAGAGGAGCTCTTTCAGGAGCTTCTAGACTTTTCTATCATTTAACTGTTTTTTTGTAGATGAGTACGAGAAACTATGAACCCCTGAGAAGCAACAGCCTCCTTGCTTCAGAGACAAACAGTGGAGCGTACGACAGTAACCGGCCTGTCTTTCTGACTGGCAGCTCTCAGAGGGAAGGGAGGGCAGGGCCAGGCACAGGTGCATCTGGTCCCACAGAGATGTGTCCAGCCGGTGGGCACCCAGGGTGGGGAGCTCCAGGAGCTGACCCGAGGGAAGAAGAATGAGAGACTCCATTTTGACAGTGAATAAAGACAGTCTGCGGGGTTCACACCACTTATTACTCACCTCAGGCAAATAGGAGATGTCCAGAGACTGCTTCCCCCGGGTGGCCCTTCAGAGTCAAGGTCCAGTCCCAGAGAGTTGAGCAGGCACACAGGAAGAGGGTAGGCCCTGCCTCCTGGAGGCTGCCTCCCTCTGCAGAGGTTAGAAGTCCCTCCCTGCCATCTTCACAGGTGACAGAGAGCCTCTGGGTCCTACCCACTGATCAGATCCATCCTGGATGAGCATTTCACAGGCTGGGTAATCACAGGCCTTGGTTTAGCAGCTGCTCATCCCAGCCCTGCAGCATGGAGTTTTAGCGGTCATGGTGGGAGCAGTAGGCCAGTCCATTTAGCAGAAGAGGCCATCTGAGGGTGGCACATGGTCAGTTAAGAAGAACACGGGCCCCAGCCCTTACATGGACTTGGTTCTAGTTCCTGTGCAGCCACTTACTAGCAATGACACCGTAGGCATGTTTTTTCTTTCTTTTTTTTTTTTTTAGAGGCAGGGACTCACTCTATCACCCAGGCTAGAATGTGGTGTGGCATCATCATTGCTCACTGAAGCCTCAAACTCCTGGGCTTAAATGATCCTCCTCCCACCTCAGCCTCCTGAGCAGCTGGGACTACAGGTGTGCACTACCATGTCCGGCTAATTTTTCTTTCTTTCTTTTTTTTTTTATTTTGTAGAGACAAGATTTTGCTATGTTGTTCAGGCTGGTCTCAAATTCCTGGTCACAAGTGATCCTCCATTTTTGGCCTCCCAAAGTGTTGGCATTATAGGCATGCGCCACCATGCCCAGCCTGGCATGTTGATTAACCTTTCTGAACCTCAGTTTTGTAATCTGTAAAATAGGAATAACATAGGTAGTGCGTAAGAGAAGGTACATGAAAACACCCAGCACAGTGCTGGTATTAGTGGGAGATCAGGTGCCCTGGAGCAAGAGTCCAGAGGGAACAGACAAGCCACGGAAAGATGCTATGATGAGAAAGGATGTTGGCTCCCCTCTGTGCTGAGGGGTGGAGGGTTAGAGGCTAGAGCCACGCCCAGGCCTGGCCACGTCAGCTCCCCTTGGCCGTCAGAGCCTGACACTGCTTCGGTTCTGTGGGATTAGAAAGTGGGAGGAGGAAGTGATGGCATATTCTTCAGTGTGACAGTTCTCCCACAGACAGGCTTGCTAAAGGGAGGAGGGTCAGGCCTGAAGTCTGTTGTGGGTGCCCATTGTGTTCCACTGGGTGAGGCTAGGGTAGCTGTGGAATTCCCCAGCCAAACCCACGTACCCACAGGACGGTGTCACACAGTCTCAGAGTCATCCCTCTCTGGGCCTCAGTTTCCTTGTTTGCCAAGGGAACATCTTGAGTCTGCTAGATTTCTAAGATCAGGCAAATTCCCAGTGGGTTTGGCCAGCCTCTTCCAGCACTCTCAGACACACAGGGATGTGTGAAGATAAACCCGAGAAGTGGATGCCAGTGAACTCTGCAAAATCCAGGGAGCTGAATGAAAGGCAGGGTAGCTTAGACCCCAGAATTCACCCCTGTACTCCCTCTTCCTCCCTTCCCCTTCCTATTCCTCGGGTGTGAGAGGAAGAGGGCATCAGGGGAACATAAGAGAAGAATGAATCCTGGTGTTGGAGGGAGAACAGAATAGGTCAGACCAGCTGTTGTCTTCAGTCCTGTACATGCTGACTGTAGAACGTTAGGCAGATGGCTGAACTCCTCTTAGTGTTGGTGGTCTCACCTACAAAATGGGGGTAACAAGCTATCCTGGAGAGTTTTGGTTTGTGAGGAGTAAATGAAATAGTGTTTGCCAAGTACCTGGTGGAGAAGGTGCAGAGTCAATGCTGGTTGTCACTATGGCCCAGTAGAAGAGGTTCATCTCCTCGATTAGCTCCTCATTCTTACCAGTTTACCCATTCATTTGACTAAGAGACATTTCCTTCTTATTTTATTTTATTTTTTTTTAATAAGACAGTTTCACTCTATCACCCAGGCTAGCTAGAGTGCTGTGGTGTTAGCCTAGCTCACAACAGCCTCAAACTCCTGGGCTCAAGCCATCCTCCTGCCTCAGTCTCCTGAGTAGCTGGGACTATAGTTGCCTGCCATGACACCCAGCTAATTTTTCTATTTTTAATAGAGATGAGGTCTTGATCTTGCTCAGGCTGATCTCAAACAGCTGAATTCAAGCAATCCACCAGCCTCAGCCTCCCAGAGTACTAGGATTACAGGTGTGAGCCACTACACCTGGCCTGACATTTACTTCCTTTTTTTTTTTTTTT